AGTCCCTTTAGGTTTATGTTTTTAGAAAGGGAGTAGTTGGTGTGGAATGAAAATACACAATTTTATCAAACTCATTAGTCCATAACATCGCTATATTTTGATAAAGTGACTAAAACAATGATGTGAAGTTTCAGTGCCTCTAGTAGAAGAATCATGAAAAGTTCCCACCCATTATAACAACCTTATCTCAAGGCATGCAGGAAACTTGACAAAAGGTTTATCTAGCTGCAGTTTTACAGAGACTTGAACTCTGTATCTAGTGTAAATATATTTTTGCCTTCTAATCACGCTAATTTTATTACAGATATTAATGACTGTCGTGGACAATGTCAGAATGGAGGATCCTGTCGGGTAAGCCATTCTCATTTTATTTTGGTTTCCCCAAGACTTGAAAGGGTAACTAAAACATTTGAGTCTAAACACAAATAATGTGGAAAATAGCGATTAGCTGATATAAATTGTCATTTCTTTGAGTTGGGGGGAGGGCCTATGTCATGCTACAGCACGTTGGGGTACGTCTGCAGAACAGCAAGGGCAAAAAATAGAATTTCAATAAATGACTTGATTTCACTGCCAGCATCACCAGTGAATGGGCTGGTTGTTGTGCAAACTACCTGTTGTAAATATAGATACTCCACTCACTTCAAAATGTGGGTTAATGTGTCCTGCCTGGAAATTAGGAACGTAAGCCAGTACTGATGTGTTTGTGTGTGTGTTTATTTCCGTCCCCTAAATATTCTTGCCTTGTTTTAATTTGAGCTACTCTTATGTTGGTATTAGACATAGTAAGAGGATTTTTATTTTTTTTTATTTTACTGTCTGTCTTCTTTAAAAAGAATATATCAAGAGGGAGGACAAATTCCTTAACTTTCAACTGTCTTGTTCCTTCCCAGGACTTGGTTAATGGTTATCGGTGTATGTGTTCACCTGGCTATGCAGGAGATCACTGTGAGAAAGACATCAATGAATGTGCAAGTAACCCTTGCATGAATGGGGGTCATTGCCAGGATGAAATCAATGGATTCCAATGTCTGTGTCCTGCTGGTTTCTCAGGAAACCTCTGTCAGGTAAGAAGCATGGGTGAAAGGCAGGCCCTCAGCCAGTGGCGTTTCTACCAGCACTCAGGATCTGTACACTGAATGCCTTGCATCCAGTGAACCATAGTATAAAGTTGTACTCGATATCCGCTGTCAGTCTGCCAAGAAAGTGCTTGATTAATATATATTGGGGTTGGGGGGGGGGAGAAACCAACAAAACACCCTGACAAGCTACTGAGGATTCTTTTTGTTAAACAGACTGCAAGTGTTTGCGTGTCAGGTTTTGTTGCCCGCTAACTATTAACTTTCAGTGGCTGTTTAATATCCAGAGTGCTGTCTGCTGAAATAGTTGCAAGTCTAACTAAACTCTGTGCATTATGAACAATTCATTGAGGCAGCAGATAAAAAGGTCAGATTCCACAGTGTCTGCCTGTTGTAGAGAGGGAAAGCTATGATAAAACTTCTGTTTCACTCAGCCTTCCCCACCCCACCCCTCTGTTTTGTTTTTTTTTTGTTAATTTCCCTTTCCTCTCTCTGCACCACTTACAGCTGGACATAGATTATTGTGAGCCAAATCCTTGCCAGAACGGTGCCCAGTGCTTCAATCTTGCTATGGACTATTTCTGTAATTGCCCTGAAGATTACGAAGGGAAGAACTGCTCCCACCTGAAAGATCACTGCCGCACAACTCCTTGTGAAGGTTTGTGCTACTTTGCAGGGGACTGGGAACAACTGACAAAAGTTTCTGCCCCTCCTCTGGCTGGAACCACAACGTAGCTCCAGTAGTGTAGTCAGTGGAGTAGCCTTTGTGTAAAGAGGCTGAATTTTGCCCTGTGCCTTATGCTTCTATTTGTATGAGAAGATGAGTAATATTGGTAAATATCAGCTCTGTGAAAGATAGTGCTATGTCAATGTGGACATAAAACACATGTAGCAAATAACCTGGCTGAATTTTAATCCAAGGCCATGGACACGGTCCAGAAATCTTCAGATAAGCTGCTTTGATCATTTTATGCACAAACACTTGGTATAGTCCTTTTATTTTAAAGCAGCAAGCATATTTGGTACTGTTAGGTTTATGGTTGGACTCGGTGATCTTAAAGGTCTTGTCCAACCTAAATGATTCTGAGATATGTATGTCTTTCAGACATCCATCCCTGGAAATTAAATATTGCTCTTAGATTAAGAAATCAGATAGAATGGGCAATCCTCACACAGGTCTCTGCTTTTTCTGCAGTAATTGACAGCTGTACTGTGGCAGTAGCTTCCAACAGCACACCGGAAGGTGTTCGTTATATTTCTTCAAATGTCTGTGGTCCTCATGGAAAATGCAAGAGCCAAGCAGGTGGAAAATTCACCTGTGAATGCAACAAAGGATTCACTGGCACCTACTGTCATGAGAGTAAGAGCTAAAAAGATAATGTGTTTTACCATCCCCTACTCTTTTTGGGAAGAGATTCCATCCTTTCCTCCCAGACTGCTTTGAGGTTTCTTTCTCGTAACACAGTGAACCTTTTTCCGCTCTCAGTTTTTCATATCCCGTTTGGGTGAGGCAGATTGGAATTTGCTAGGCCTTGGGGAAAGTTCACAGTAATGAACCTTCTGGCCTTGAATTGTATGTTTTTAAAAATCTTATGTATACAAGGTCTGAGGTAGTTAATAATGGGGTTTAAAATGGATCTGAAGGACTCCTGATTATTTTTTTTGGTTGTTTTGTTTTTAATAGTAATTGTTCAGTGACAAGCTCATCACTTCCTGCACTGTTTTTTAGCTATTTCTTATCTTGCTTACAACCCTCCTTCTCAAAAGGGTCTTAGAAATGGAAGTAGCATGAAATGATCTGTGATAAGGAGATGACTTCTAGTAGCTGTACTTCTAGTCTGATTGTTTCTTTTCTTCTCCTGCCCACCCCCCACCCCTTCCCCTCTCCTCCAAACTGTTGCAGATATTAATGACTGCGAGAGCAACCCCTGTAAAAATGGTGGCACTTGTATCGATGGCATCAACTCCTACAAATGTATTTGTAGTGATGGATGGGAAGGAATGTATTGTGAAACAAGTAAGTTAACCATTCTTTTGGCACACAGAAAGATCTCTTGGAAAAACATCAGGAAGGAATGGCTGGTACTGTCTGTAAGATGCTAGTAGTGACCAATGCCAGTTCAACACAAAGTGCTTCAAAGGCCGCAGAGGACAAGTTGTCCTCTTTTTATTACTGAGTCCCAGGCTTTTGTATTGGAACTAAAGCCAAGTTACAAAGTTGGATTGGGAGGAGGACCTTGCTCTCCTACTGTTCAGTTTTCTGCTCTGCCCTTTGGATAACTTTCTTTAAGAAACCCTTAGCATTAGTACAGACAGCCTTAGGAATGGCCTGTCTGCATATCACACGTGGGTTTTGTCAGTCTCGGGAACAGAAGAGTGAGCACTCAACTCCCATCCTCTGACTGACAGGGTAGTTTGTGCAATAGGCCTTTTCACTTCTTGTTTACTGAAACAAGATGACAAACAACATGAAAACAAACTGGAGGAATGTGGTGGAATATTCTTCATCTCTGTGACAGCACTTAAAGCTTTCAAATACTGATTTAAGTGTTTAATCCATGATTGAAACACAGGCCAAAATTAGGGATGGGACATGCGCCTTTCAAACATTAAGTGTTTGTCAGTTCTGTAAACGCTGCTTAGCTTGTTTTCTCTCCTTAACATATCTAGATATTAATGACTGCAGTAAAAACCCTTGCCACAATGGAGGAACTTGCCGAGACTTGGTCAACGACTTCTTCTGCGAATGTAAAAATGGGTGGAAAGGAAAAACTTGCCACTCCCGTAAGTTCAGCATTTCCCAAACCCAACAGGCATGCTCTGTTAGGCTGCTCAAACTTGTTGCATTGCATTCAGAAAGCACAAAGTATTAAGGATGGTTTGGGTTCTTCACAGGTGACAGCCAGTGCGATGAGGCAACATGCAACAATGGAGGAACATGTTATGATGAGGGGGACACTTTCAAGTGCATGTGTCCTGCAGGATGGGAAGGAGCCACTTGTAATATAGGTAAATACCCTGCGTAATCACCAGGAAGCACATGCAGCACTGAATCTGTGACCTCAGCTTTTCCTCTTGGCTCAGTTTTGACGGCTTTTCAACAGCTTTAGCAGCAAATCTTGTTTCTGTTACAGCAAGGAACAGCAGCTGCCTGCCAAACCCCTGTCACAACGGTGGTACCTGTGTAGTCAGCGGGGATTCTTTTACTTGTGTCTGCAAGGAGGGCTGGGAAGGACCCACATGTACTCAGAGTAAGTTGTCTCTGCTTGAACTTTTCCAGAATGTTGCATGATGAGAACATTAGCTCATCCTGTCGCCCTTGGAGTCAAGATTGAAACCAGAAGGGAAAGCTTGTTTGATGTAGGCTTTAGCATCACCTGAATCTTTGTTTTTAATGACTTTATGTGATAGAACCTTGACCTGGGCATGAGAAAGTTGCAAATGAGCTAAGTGGAGACAGATGTTGTCTTGTTTTCTCCCGCATTCTTTTTCTACGAGCAGCTCTGTCTGCTTCCATGTTTTTTTTTTTCCTCCTGTTAGATTCTTTACAAGGATCTCTTCCTGTGTACATGTGTTCCACAATGTAGTTAGCAAATTTTGTGGTAGAAGCCTGGAATCAATTTAGTAGAGAATTTTAGCATATTTTTGTTAAAGTTAAAGCTAAATGTAACTTGGGCATTAGGGGAAGTCTGATCATTCTTTACTGACAGAAGAGTTTATTAGCCAAAGTCTGCATGTTTAATGTTCTCTGCCTTTGCTTTGCAGACACAAATGACTGCAGTCCTCATCCTTGGTAAGTTTAATATCTTTATCTTTATATATATATATGTATATATATATAT